GGGGGGGCATGGTGCTGTCAACCGATTATCACTTCTTGTTGAAACGCTACGCTGTCAACAATGGAGTACGAAGGAAAGACCTGGCGGCAGAAGCCAGGGAATGAGTTTTGTAAAATTGTCTTCAGAGGATTCGAGGGAAAACTTGCAAATTACATCGCACGACAGTTTGAGTAAATATGCCAATGATGATCACTGATCTGGAAATCGACTGAAAGCCCTTTAAAGGCGATTTACTCGGAGCTGTCGAATGCTGCGGCCGATAACGGGTTGGTCTGTCGCATGGAGGTCAAAGACGCATTTCCTGGCGGACACGAGAGGATCAACTGACCGTCAGCACGACGAAGGCTGCATTAAAGAGATGGCTTGGGAGCAAAAGGACTCATCTCGGATGAAGTACGAGAAAGCGCGCAAGACTGCACTGAAAGCAGTGGCCAAAGCGAAGGGTGATTCCTGGGAATGGTTTGGCGAGACGTTGCAGTCGAATCTCTAGATAGCAAAAGAAGGCATTCTTACAGGCCCACCTTCGTTTCTAACATGGAACGAAGGGCAGTCTCAGAATCCTGAAGGCAAGTCTGGGTGCGCTTTTACCGAGAATGAGGTTATTCTTCGGCGATGGAGAGAGTATCTGAGGAACTTCTTAACCAAGAGGCAACCGCAGAAAGACGCTCCTGAAGGGCGGCCGTGAAAAATTATGCGCCTTTCAGTAGGTGAAGTCACAGCGGGTGTAACAAGGTAGCAACATGGCAAGGCTGCTGGAATCTGTCAAATCCGTCATGAAATGTTTAAAGCATTAGGCGAACATTCTGCGACTTGCACGTGTCAGCAAACTGTAGTAGGTACGGGAGGATACTAGCGGACTGGAAATGGGAGACTCAGTAACCCTGCTGAAAAAGGGAAACGATAGGGAGTGTTCCAATCATCGGATCATTACCTCCTAGAGTTTATCGTGAAAAGTCTACGTAAAATGCTAGAAAGGAGCCACCGTAACTGACACTGAAAAACAAGAATTGCAGCTGACTTCAAGTCAGACTGAAGCACACCTGACCAGGTATTCGCCCCTACATCAGATTGTTGAGAAATTGGGCAAGTTCATTCA